CAATTTAAATACTATTTGCTCTGAATTGTAATCTTAATGAAAAATTTTCACCCTAAAGAATTGATGTCTTACAGAACTCAGAATGGGGATACAGCCTTTTACCTCTAGGTCTTAAATTCAAATCCAGTCCAAGACAGTAGTGACTGAAGATCATTACCATTTGATACTGCTGTTTGGTGCCACAGGTGCAGTGGCCTCTAATTTCTAGTGAACTCTCCTATTCTGTATTCTGCATCATGACTGGCATTTTAGCACAGAAAGATTAAATGGGCATAAAGAGAGGAAGCCTGCCTGAATGTCAAGTGGAGGAGGGACTAGATGTGAAAATCCTACATCTGGATTGGTTACCATTTGCTTCTCCCTCAGATGAGGAAGACTCATCCATTTGTCCAGACTAGTAGCTCATCACTGAAAAAACACTAACATAATCCATGCTATAGAAGAATTATAGTGCTGCTAAAAACAATTATGAAAAATGTTTACTGCATATATCCACTTGTTTTAAAATATGCAACAGCTCTCCAAACAAAGGAATAATTTGATAGTCTACTTTTAATTTTTATTGGATTGTTACAAAATGTAACACACAGATTTTTGATTCCTCCTAACACTTATGAAGTGTGTAATCTGATTTTAATGTCTGTCAGGCATTTACTGAGTACAGCACTTCAAGTTAAGAGGCTCAGTGAAAGTTCATTCACTATTATTCCATATTCACTTAATTTTTCTCAGGTGCCTTCATTTTGACCTTCTGGCTTACCTCAGGGTACAAATCTAGGCAACTGCGCACGCACACACACACAGAGGAATAATCCCTGGAATAGGTGTGAAGTTTTTTTACTTTCTTCCAATGATTTGCTAAACAATACCAGAAACAGAACTGTAATCTGAAACACTGGGTTTCTTAAAGCGGCCATTTGTCAATCTTGCCTTGGAAATTTAAATCAAACATCCCACTGATAATCAGTAATCTACACATGCAGATGGCATGTCCGTTTTTGATGATCAAACTGAGGACTTGATTATGAGGCCCTTACTTCTGCAAAATTCCCACTGGCTTCCATTGGAGTCTTGCCTGAGACTACATCTTGGTCACAGTTTTGAATACACTTCTGAAGCTCCTCAATTCAAATAGCACAAAAGGACTTGACTGAGGAATGAAGGCTAAGCTCAGTATAGAGCTCTCTTCCCCCCTTCCCTGCCCCCGAGAAGACCTGATAAACTCTTTTAAATGGGGTTTATGGTGGGAAAGCGACACCCGTTTTACAAATATACCAAACTATTGAAATCCCTGTCCTTGAGCTTACTGTAAGTATAATTAGGATCTGAAATAGGCTTTTTCCAGTTTGGTTAAATGTTGTTGTTATAGTTTGCTCTCTCTCCCTCTTTTTATTACTTCAATCCAAACCTGCTTTTCATATTATTAACTTTGATTTATCGTACATACTGGCTTCAGCCACTAAGCATATGTCATCACCCACGCTTAATTTATAACAGAATGTAAATTGTGCTGTGTCTGCTTCTCTGTAACCCATTAGATAAACCAGAATATAGTAATTTACTGTTCCCTCCATAAGAGAAGATGCAGAAGTCTTACATGGATGGTTACTAACCAGCAAGCATATAGTCAGATAAGTAATTTTAAAAAGAGACAGCCATTTAAGACAGTAATTGAAAAGAATACTTCTTTTCTATAAAGATGAGATAAAATAGGTCACACTTTCCTCTGTTACCTTCATTCAACTCCACTGAAGTCATGGGGCAACACTGGCGGAAGTAGGACAACTGATACAAGCTCTTTAAAAACAATTGTTTGGTTATACCCACCTACTATAAACAAAAGGTGAGAATGCTCATTTACTTCAGCTCTGCAGGGTTTTCTGAGAACTAGAACAGTCATTTGAGGTTTGTGTTTTTTCCTTGAAAAGATTTGATTACAAAACTTCCCTTAACTCAGTTAAAGCCAGGAACACTCCTCTTTGCTGTAGCTGGTATGATTACTAAAGCAATTTTTGTTGAAGGGTTCAGTCAAAGTTAAGCTGGGATCTTTCCCCTCCTGGCTGTCGTCTTCATGCAGTTCTAGCTTTACAGACTTCTGGGACATTCCTGATACTGTGCAGCAGGCTTTCACTAAACCCTTCATTGTTCTTTTCAAGATAACTGGAGGCTTGACTCCCCTGTAAGCGGGGCAACTGAACTGGAAGCAAGGACTTGTCTTAAGCAGTCAAAGAAGGTGATATTCCTCAAGATCTGACCTAGAGACTGAAGTAGTTCATTTTTCATGAAAACCTCTTGAGTGAACCTGTTATACACCGGAGCATTTAAATGGGAATTTACAAGTAGAGAGGGGCTAGTGATTTTCTTTAATTCCAACAACTCTCATTTAGAGTGCAGATGAATACCATTGTTTGGAACTACGGTACTGTTTAAAGGCAGACTCACACAGTTCATCCACACAGGGTTTGATAATCCACACAGAGGGCAAAATCCTGCCCTGGGCAGTGCTGGAAACGGGAACAAGGTTGCTCATAATACACCCACCAGTTCACAATTCCTACTCACCAGAGGATTCCATGGGGAGAGCTTGTAGGAGCTGTGGTGAGGTACACTTTTCTGCTGCTCTAAATCGGAACAGCATGTGACCCCAGCAGTGCATGGTCCTGATTGTGGTGTGTATACTAGCCAGCCTGGGAACTGGACCTACCCTCTAGTCATCAGACCATACTGCCTTGAGGACATGGTGCATAAGAGGGCTTTTGTGGGCTTTTAAGCTCTAGGGCAGAGGTCCCCAAAGTTTGGGGCACACACCCCTAGGGGGCCATGGAGGAACATTCGGGGGCACAGCAGGGCCTAGGGCAGCCCCCACGGGGGGGGGGAAGAGTATCACCCAGATACTTCCTGTCCCGCTCTCAGACGTGTCCCTCGCTCCCACCCCCACGCCTCGCCCTGTGCCGAGCCTCGGCATGGCTCCACTACTGGCCTGGCCCCAGCCCCGCTCCCAACCTCAGCCTCGGCCCCCGTCCATGTCTCCCCCCACTCACCCCAGAGTTGTGGCCCCGCTCCCGGCCCCGGGGGGTGGTTGATATGGATGCGGGGTGGGGGGGGGCCACAACTGTCAAAAGTTTGGGAACCGCTGCTCTAGGGAGAGATCCTGCACTGCTGCTTTTACAGAGAGCAGGGGAAGAGGGTCCCTCTCCCCCCTCAACTCGAGTGCCTTACTACAGTGGAGGGCGGCATCCAGCTCACAGAATAAGTTCGGTAATGTGTCTAAAAAACAAAGTGGTTTTAGCCATAATAAAACAGCGTCTCCCTTCTTACCAATCTACAACTGTGCAGAAAGTCCTGATAACATGGTCCTCATTCCAATTAGTAAGGGAAAAACTTACACATATTAGCATAACTCACATCAGGTCATTTTCAAGGACCTAAGTGGTGACTCAAACAAACTGCACAAAGATGTCTTCATACAAATCTCTAATCCATTAGCACCCCTTTCATATTAGTCATTGTCCATGTTAAGACCCTGTAAAATATAGAGGGTTTGGAAACACATTTGTGACCAAATTAATGGAATCTTTGCAAGTATATTCCTCCCCCAGCTAAGAACTATTAAACCTGCTGATGGGATGCAACACCTGGCCCTCATACAGGACTTAGCATATCGGGATACCATTTTTTCAAGAAACAGGTTAAATGTCCCTTCACACCCGTTTCCAAAAAGCAGGCACCACTATTTCTGTGGAAATAAACCAATCCCTGCTCCAGTTACCAAAATAACCTCCATGACTTTTTTGACCTCTGGCGTAGTGGAAAAGGCCTCAGAACTTTATCCCCACGTGGTTGCTTGAGGAGCTGCTGCTTGGCCTCCTTGTAGTCAGTTCATACAGTCTCTATAAAGCATTTCCACTCTTCTATGAGCTTTCTTCTCTGTATGTGTTTCTCTAGCCAGAAACATATGTGTGTGTGTATATATACAGATGACAGATGTGTTTATATTGCTTTATGCATGGAACATTGTATAGGACTACATTTTGCCAGATGAACTTGAAAGACTAAAGTATACTTACACATACTTCATTCTCCCACAAAATAAATTTTTAAATTTTGCCTGATATGAAGTGCCATTTTCCACAAAAAAAAACATTTTTTATTAAATGTGCATTGTATTGCTGAAATAGAGATTATTTTCTTAAACAGACAAAACAAAATATACAGAAATCAAATTCACCATGCAAGAGAGGTATTTCCTCCCACTTCTGTTGCCATCGTTAATACTCATTTTAGTCTTTACACATGTGGCAGCAAACTGGGCCAAAACAGCTCAATACTCCACGGTGACAGTTTTGTCTACAATGTAAAGCTGCGAAGGATATTTTTATGTACATTTTGAAGCATGTATCTTTTGACTATACAAACACTGCATCTGTCTCATGACGTTTGTCACCTTCTTATTTATCTTAATTTAAACAAGAGGTGTGTTTTGGATAGTAGGAGCAGCTTTGACAAATCAAGAGGAAAAATTATGCTGGTTTAATGTCCAGGGTTTTGGAAGACTGTAGAGTGTTAATTGTAATGAAGCCAACTTAATATAACTGTTTTCTTTATATTCCAAAGATTCGCTAGGGACTTTGCTGCTTGCATACAGGAAACAGTCTGTTGTATTAGAACAAGACCATGTTTCTTACCCTTTAAATTATTACAGAAAGTTTCCTTATAGGAAATGTTACCATTCAGACAAACTCTCATATTTATTTGTAGACAAATCTTCCTGTTTGTGTCACAAGACAATTAGGTGAAACCAGAGACCAAGAAGATTCAATGCTATTCCCTTACAAGTGTGAAGAGAAGCTGGTGAATAAATCCACATGATGGCAATAAATGTGTATGCAGAAATAACATTTTTTCTTAATGTAACTCTTTATTGCGGTCTGCTTTCAAGTCTTGGCTGTTTGACTTATACATTTGGTTTGCAACAACCAGTAAATCTCAAACCAAGAACCTGTGGAAAAAATAAATATATTCCTTTAACTATAAAGAGGAGCTACCTGCAGAAATGTGAATTCATTATAAATAAAGTTTGCCTTTTGTTGTCACACTATTCGACCAAGATATACAGACTTGGGATATTTTTCCTTCAGAGCAGGCCACTGAACAATGAAGTAATCCGAAAAGTAGTAAAGAATTTTTCCAGACAGGGATAAAGTTTCCACTCGGCAGATGCTCTCTACATACACAATGATAACTTTCTTTAGCGCCAGTATCTCAAGAAGAAGGGCAGATATACAGACAGGAACACATGTTCCTGGTCCGTTGCACAATATCTAAAAGAAACAAAATATTTTAGATCAAAAGTCAAATATCAGATTTTTTTATACTGTATAGAGACCTTAGATATTTCCATAAACGATTAGGTTTATAAAAAGTAGACATTTATTAAAACTAAACAAAAAGCAAAGGCAAATTTACAGTAGGGTTTACATCAAAACAAACAGCTGCCAAAAAACATATTTTAAATGTCAAATATTGTGGTGAGGTGGGAGGTGTTGCTTCTTTCCTAGTAGGGACATTTTTGTGTAGGGATCAAAATTTAATAGCTTTCAGGAACACTACTAGCAAAGCATAGGGGTCAAATACTGGCCTCGGGCAGAGCTTTCATTGATGACAACAGGAGTTCGATGCATGGGCTTAGGGCACAATAAAGCCTAAACTGTTTAATCAGGATTTCTTAAAACTGGCAATACAGTTATAAACCTCCTGAATTTTGGCCTTGAGTCAGCAAAACATTTAGTACATGCTTAACTGCTTTGCTGAATTGGGGCTTTTATCAAGGCTTTTTAGCTGATCTGCTGAATTATTGGGGGTTTTCTAGTAAGCACTTGGGAGTTTTTACCAAAACTTGTTACGATTATGCTCTTTTGTAGCTACATGCATATAATTAATAATAATACTTTGCACTCATCAGAGGATTTCAGTGCCTTACAAACATTAATTACGCTAGTGAAGTGAAAATTATTTCTATTTTACAGATTGGTAAAATGAGGCACAGAGAAGTTAAAGCCAACATTTTCAAACTAGGATGCCTTTAGGCATCTGACCCACATTTAGTTTCCTAAGTAAAAGTAGCCTGATTCCAGGGGTGGAAGGTCAGGGTTACTAAACTGAATGAGACTGTTATCAGCACATTTGGAACAGTTGCAGTTTGTTTGGTAAATAATGGAGACACTGTGTTTTATTATGGGTAAAACAGCTTTATTTCCCTGGGATGTAATATAAAATAGGAATAATTTTAGATAATAGGGTCACATAATTTCTGTTATAGACTCAGTCCTGCATTTCTCACACCTATGGGTGCTCAGTACATCTTAGAAACAGGCCGCTTTTATTTAAGTACTTAAAGTTTGGCACCTAAATTGATATTTAGGTGCCAAACTTTAGGCACTCAGGTGTGAAAATTTTGGCCAAAAGTGACTTGGCTAAGATCAAACAGCTGTCCCATAGCCAGGGACACAGAACCTGGGAGTCTTGGCTCCCCATCCCCTGCTCCAGTCAGCAAAACTAATTAAAAAACACATGCAACTCCCATTAATTCAGCACTCTCAGGATCAGACCATGAAAGTTTGTGTGAAATATACTTATTTTAGGCATTTAAATTTTGTTTGCCCAGTTCTCCAACTCTTAAAGACTTTTTTGGGTAGAAAGTTACATATAGTAAGTTTGATAGACATCTGGTAGTCTTTGGATGACACAGTTTAGGACAACATTTTCTCGTGGGAATCAACAGCCACCAAGCTTATATGCAAAATAAATTAATGTCACTTTTTAGTGTGGTTCTTACAGAAATTAATTATTCACATTTGAGTTTCATTAAACTTTATTTACAGTGGGGAAAGACAGTTTAATGGGCAACACTTTTTATACTCTGTAAATCTTTGAAATAATAAGTCAGAAGTACTGAGTATTATGTAGTGCCCCAATTCACCATGAAATGTTTTTGTTACATGTCAGCAGTAACAAAATATCAATATATTTGTATAATAAAATTAAAGTGCAATTCTTTTCATACTAGCCCGTATCTGGTTAAGATGAGATTCAGTTGAGAACAATTCTGCATATCAGATTTTTAAAATCAAAATAATATGCTGTACTTTCGAAGCTGCTGCTGCGCTAGATATCAAGTACTTATGCCAGGGATTGAAAATCCACTCTCCAAACTGTTGAGAATGAATGTTGAAGTATAATTTCTACAGAATTTAAGCTTTCATTTTAAAAAAAATTCTACCCCCTAATGGTTACAAAGAAAATCTTCCAAATGTGAATTAAGTGTAAACTGATACTCTCTCCCTAAGTCTGCACACAGACACAGGGCTTGTCTACACTGGCACTTCACAGCGCTGCAACTTTCTCGCGCAGGGGTGTGAAAAAAACACCCCCCTGAGTGCAGCAAGTTTCAGCACTGTGAAGCGCCAGTGTAAACAGTGCCCCAGCACTGGTAGCTACGTCTCTCATGGAAGTGGGTTTTTTTAGAGCACCAGGAGAGCTCTCTCACAGCGCTCTGTCGTGACTACACAAGTCACATTAGTGTTGCCATGTAGACTAGCCCACAGCATCACAGCAGCAGCATAATCTGGTCAGTTTCATCTCTGCTATTCAGAATCCTAAGGACAGCAGTGAAACAGTCCAAGATCACTTCGGCTTAATACTGCTTTACCTTTTTTAGGCATTTTCTATGGCTGTTGAAAGGCATCAAGCTGGACCTGTAGTCTCCCCTTCCCCCCCAACTAGCACAGAGCCACTGCAAATGAAAGCTGCTTTAGTGTAAGTGAATGCAACAATGTATTAGAATAAATGACATTTACTAGCTAAAACACAGAAAACAGCTCACAACCATACAAGGATTAAATGTCAGACAAAGGGCTAAAACAAAAACCAGCAAAAGCAGAGAACTTGCGAGTTATTATATTTAGTTTATTTTTCTAATTTATACCTTTAATTACATATTTCAGCACTTCTGATGTTCATAAAATTCAGTAATCAAAAGGAGGACAACAAAGTCCCTACAACCTTAGTAGAAATTTGAAAAATTAATGCAAGATTGTTTTGCATAAGGCCTGTCAATAGCTACTGGTCTCTTATTTCTGTTAGAAAATTCCACAGAGTTTGCTCTTTGTGAGCCTGACAACATCAATGAAATTCATTGCTTTTCTGTATTCTGGGATAGATTCTGCTCCATGGCAGGGAAACACTCATCATAACTTAGAGGCAGTGTACAAAGGTGAATTGAAGACAACTGTGCACTCAACTCTGAGGCTGTCTGGTTGCTTGACTAGCTCCTGGCATAAGAACATAAAAGCTGCCATATTAGGTCAGACCATGGTCCATCTTGCACAGTACCCTGTCACCAGCACAGCTTCAGGGGAAGTGTACAGAACATGGCAATTATGGAGTGATCCACCCATCTTTCACTCCCTGCTTCTGGTAGTCAGATGTTTAGGGTTGCCCCAAGCTCAGGGTTGCGTCCCTGACCATCTTGGCTAATAGTCACTGAACATATCCAGTTCTTTTCTGAACCCAGTTATACTTTTGGCCATTACAACATCTCATGGCAATGAGTGCCCCAGATTAATTGTGCACTGTGTGAAAAAGTACTTCCTCTTGTTTATATTAAACCTGCTGCCTGGTAATTTCATCAAGTGACCCATTTTTTGTATTACATGAAAATGTAAGTAATACATTTTCCCACACCATTCATGATTTTATAGACCTCTATTGTATCCTACCCTTAGTCATCTCTTTTCTAAACTGAACAGCCCTAATCTTTTTAGTATCTCCTCAAATGAATGCCACTCCATACCCTTGATCACCTTTGTTGCCCTTCTTCAAACCTTTTCCAGTTCCACTATATTTTTTTGAGAGAGGGTAACCAGAACTAGACACAGTATTAAAGGTGTGGGCACACTATGGATTTATATAGTGGCATTATATTTTCTATCCCTTTCCTAACAGTTCCAAACATACAGGTAGCCTTTTTGACTACTGCTGTGCATTGAGCAGAAGTTTTCAGAAAACTATCCACTGTGACTCCAAGAGCTCCTTCTTGGGTGGTAACAAATAATTTAGAACCCATCACTGTGTGTATCTATCTATCTATCTATCTATCTGGGATTCTCCCCGCACCCCATACAGTGCATTTCTTTGCACTTAACACTGAATTTCATCTGCCATTTTGTTGCCCGCTCACCTAGTTTTGAGAGAGCCCTCTGTAAGTCCAAAGCAGAATGCAAGGAGTTAACTATCTTGAATAATTTCATTCATTTGCAGTGGTGTTTTTAGCATGTTGGTTCCAGGATATTAGAGAGACAAGGTGGTGAGGTAATACCTCCCCTCTTATCCCATAGCTTCTTAGTTTCCTTACGAGCCTTTGGTACTTTGTCAAAGGCTTTCTGAAAATCCAAGTACATTATATTGATTGGAACACTCTTCTCCACAGCCTGTTGACTCCCTCAGAGAATTCTAATAGATTGGTGAGGCATGACTTCCCTTTACAAAAGCCGTGTTGTCTCTTCCCGAACAAATCGTGTCTAAGTGTCTAATAATTCTGTTCTTTACTATTGTTTCGATCAATTTGCCCAGTACTGAGGTTAAGCTCACTGGACTGTAAGTGCCAGGATCTCCTCTGAAGCCCATTTTTAAAATTGGCATTATGCTAGCTACCTTTCAGTCATCTGGTAGAGACGCTAACTTCAGAGCTAAATTACATACTACAATTAGTAGTTCTGCAATTTCATATTTTAGTTCCTTCAGAACTCTTGGGTGAATACCATCTGGTACTGGTAACTTATTATTATTCAGTTTATTTATTTGTTCTAAAATCTCTTCTATTGACACATCAGTTTGTGACAGTACTTCAGATTTCTTGCCCAAAAAGAATAACTCTGATGTGGGTATCTCCCCCACATGTTCTGCAGTGGAGACTAATGCAAAGAATCCATTTTGCTTCTCCATAATGGCCTATATGACTTAGAGTAGGCTTCAGGCTTTTCCCATTTATGCTAACTGATAATGGACCCCAAGGGATGTTATAGCAACTGGGGATAAGCCAGGCCTAAGAAAACATTGACCATGCCTCCTTTTCCCAATTCATTGCTTGCACAATTAACCGGGACAGGAGTGGAGGTGACAGAAGAGTGCTATAGTGGCTCTGTGTCACCCAAAGATTCCAGACATCTTTGTGCCACCACGGTGATACAAAGCTAACTCAATGTACAGGTGCCTAAATATCTTTAAAAATCTAACTCTAAGAGCTGAACTGTCACTGAAAGTC